GGGTTTGATACGCGTAAGTATTGGACCATCGAGTAAGAGTGTTGAACACGCGGTTGATGGGATTTTGAATGGTGTTGAGATCATGAAGATGAATAACACATTGGGAAGTCTTGATGGGTTTGTTTCCACTGAAACGATACTTAGCCGTTGTCCCAACAGAAGAAACATTAGCTTGTTTATGTCAATGGTTGCTTTCATGTGTATCTTGATGAGTGTTTACATTGTGACTCAAAGGAGGAAAGCTATGAACGGATTTGGCTGGTTAAGGTTATCGGATAATGTACTAGAAGATAACAATCCGAAAACCGCGCGAGTTTGATCAAGAGTGCCGTGAAGCTTTCAGAGGTTAAAGCTAATAACTTGTTGTTGAGTATTTTTTTGTCTCTCATATACAATGAAGTATCTTCTTTGATTAGATTTGTTTCACAAGTGTGTTAATGTTATTGTTATATGTATATAGAGAGAGAGAGAGATACGGTATATAGCCTTGATGATACTTGGATTGTCGATATGTATTGATTCATTAAATTTTAATGTCTTTTGTTCTTGTGTTGATGTGTGAGGAAACTTGTATCTTTGTGTTTGTAATGTGGGTGGAACTAATTAAAAGTGAATTCTTTCATTGAAAAAGCTTTAAGATGTAAATCAACAATAGTTTTTTTTACCTTACCAAAGATGGGATATAGCTAGTTTCATTAAAAAGCTTTAAAATGTATATTCGATGCTGAGAGGAATATAAAAATTGGTCGAATAAAACAAAAACAAAAATGTATACATAAATTCAAAGCTTAGTGTGATGTAAAGTGATGTAATGATGATGAGGAAGAATGAATGGGAATGGGCCTGAATCATCTTTTCCTCGTTGGCTTTGGAATGCACATCCTTGTTGACACGCGTGAGATTCGTGGACGGCGAAGACAGTGACACACATAAGTCTGACATGTGACACGTTTACATTCCACACGTACGTACGGGCTCGAACCTACCAAAACCGAACACGAACCATATTCTTTCACAACCATCCAATTTGGGGTAATGTATCATAGCTTTAATCCCTCGCACTTCTCTTATTTCTTGAGCAACTTTATAAATTATTTCGTCGTAATTGCGAATACATTTCTGTATTAGAGTTTTTAGCGCAATTATTCATGACCCATGTATAGCTTATTCTACTAATTGTATATTACTTAGAATGAACATATAGTGTCATGAAAAAAAAAACATATAGTGTCATGTTTAGATTGTATTTGGAAAGGTTTTAATTAATACCTAAAATAATAGTTAATTATCAAATAGGTTTTGAGCGATAAAAGGTAGCATGGTCCTTGGCCTCTTCCTTAAGTCAAAATTTTCTATTATATTTTTATAGTCTTTTAGGCAATAAACTTCGAATTCTTACTTTTTCATAGTAGAAAACAGAAATCGCACGTATACATATTCCCGTAGTTATAAATATTAATTAAATCGTTTGACATTGGGAGTCCAGATAAGAATATCTAGCTAGATTAATTAATGCATATCTTTTAATAGAACTTATAGAAAGTTATTAAACAACATATACCAGAGAGTTTTATAAAAACAAAATAAAAAAACATATACCACAATTAGTAGATATTTTAAGGGTAATCTTTTTAACGCAAAAAGAAAACTTGGGTAGCAGAAGTATATTTTTATGTTGTAATGTAATTTGGGAAGAGTTGTTCCATAAAAAGTGGAAATTGAAATCCAACTAAAAACATTGTTCCATATCACAGTGTCAAACTTTTATATCGTTGTACATATCCTATATGAATCAAATATCGAATAAACGTTTCTTTATAGCAAATTGTATATTCTTTCATACCTCTTTTTTTTTACGTCATCTCGGAAAAACACAAATAGATGTAAAATAATGAAAGAAAATAAAAAACA